TGTGTGTGTGTGTGTGTGTGTGTGTGTGTGTGTGTGTGTGTGTGTGTGTGTGTGTGTAGAAGGTGACATTTGGATGCAGATGTAGCTGCAGATTGAAAGCACCTAAAGTAATGCTCGCCTCATCCTTCACTGTCAGTTGTGTGGGGAAACTCAGTGGCATCTAAAAATATGGAAAATCTCCTCTAAAGGAGACATTGTGTTGACACTGAGAAGCTGATTCTTTGTTTTAAATAACTTTTTTAACAAAGAAATAGCAGTTCTTAAGGATTAATCTTGAAATAGATTTATTTATTTGTTCATTTGCTTTTTCTTTTCTCTCTCTTGCTTTTTTATGCTAATGTTTTGAACAGCCTGAAACATTTGGTTAAATTTCAGGCTTTTCTTCCAGTTTTTATCTTTCAAAGGTTTGACCTACAGCTTCTCAACGCAAGTTGCTCATAGCTTGAATACAGTGGGTGATATGGTCTTTAATCCACAGCAGATCTGTGTCACAGGGCCAGCAGACTGAAAAGAGACTCCCAAATCTCACTTATGTTTTCTCCAGAAAGTCAGGTCTGCTCCATTGCATCCGATGACACACTTTCCACCCTGGGAGGCATCCAGAAGGCATCCTGACAAGATGCTCGGACTAATATAAGTTATACAGACAGCAGATTTCTCTGATGTCCTCCCAGATGATCAGGCGTCTTCCTTTATCTGAATGGTAAGGCCAGAAATTGCTTTAAGGAATAATACCTGCAGTTAATTAGTTTACTATGTCAGTAAACGTCATAGTTGGAGAGCCTAAATGTTCAACTCAAACTGGTACAGAGCCCGAATTAGTACAGAAATAGCATCAAAGTTTTGTCACTTTTAAATCAAAGAAACTGGTCTTCGAGCGTGGCCCCCTGGTTCAAAATACTGCCTGTAACAGGGTCAACATCCACTTAAAGAGGGGTTTGCTCAGACATGTGCACATGCTCATGTGAGTTTGAGAGTGAAACACTTCAAACAAACTGATTTTTCTCTGAAACGCTCTCGCTTTTTAAGGCTGGACTGGTTGTATTTACTGTGAAAAGAAGCATCACACGTTAAACTGAAGGATGAGTGAGGTGGTGATTATTGGGTTTGACCTCCAAATAGCCAATAAAACAAAAAAACACAAATGTCCTCTTTAATCTTTGAACAGTGTGAGATTATTCTGCTGTTTGACTTCAAGGTCAGAGTCGCTAAGAGAAAGATGTTAGCAAAATTGGATTTAATTATACTGTATATACTTTTTTATTTAGTTAAGGGGACTCACTACTTATTTTTTATAAATAGTGATGAAAACAGAGCAGACGTTAATGTTGTGCTTTAATGAATGTGTGATTATAAATAAGTAGACACTAACACTGATGTTACTGAGAGAGCATCCAGGAGCTGTGTGAGCAGGAAACCAACTCTCCAATCAGCCAAACACCTTCTCTTCTGTGTGTGTGTGTGTGTGTGTGTGTGTGTGTGTGTGTGTGTGTGTGTGTGTGTGTG